TGAGATCGCGCTTTTTAATCTCTTTCCTATCTTCATAAAATATAGCTAAGACTGCAAATCTGGCTGTTGTACGGTTATGAACTGGTGCCCTAAAACTGCCAACTCCTGACTACCTTCAGACTTCTAAAAATTATATGGGCAAGGAGAATACATTCAACTTTACTAAGCTGACATATCAAATAAACTAAATTATTAGAAGAAGAGTGATAGTGCATGTATCAATGCAACTTGTGGATCAATGAAAAAAAGTGGACTGATACTATTCGGCATGGCAATCCCACCAGAAATTAGTGCATATTAGACTCATTCAGACAGAAATTTGCGCTTAAACAAAGCATTAGACTGTTATCTGAAATACTTGTTAGCACACAAAACAAATAATAATGAGCCAAGTGTACAGGCATTCTTCAAAATGAGTCAGTGCAAGACACCACACTCTTAAAATGCCAAGGATAGCTTCCTTTCAAAATAACAAAATAAAATATATTCAAACTGAATAGCTTTGACATTTTAAAATGAAAGGTCGATTGTCTGCTGAATGCCTGACTATACTGTGTAAAACACATTCGCCTACTCCTGGTATTTCAACTTGATTTGTGGTCAATTATTCAATGAATTACAATTAACCATGGTTGCAGGTTGCTAATCTAAAGGGATGTTTCATTTGGGCAGTAGGAAAGCACTAAAACGAAATGTACAAATTCAGAATTATAAACTGTTAATCATGGATTTAATTAGTTTTCAAATTTATTTGGAATTAATTTGAGCTAGACAGTCTTGACTCTCCTGGTGCTTCTTAACACACCTAATGGTTTCATGATGTGGACATACTTCATTCAAATGCATGCGCATGGGTTTTAAAATTAATGCAAACCTTAAATTATATGCTTGTCCAGTTAACGGCATCAGTTGATACTTTCTCCTGAATCGCACGAAAAAAGCTAATGACAAGGCACTAAATCAGGTATTCTAAAACCTTCCACTCTTGGCTAATTTATTTACCTTTATGTCAATTAAGCATGTATTTTTCTCTTTTGATCACTTTTCAACTCAATTTTATACTTGCCTTAAGTTACCATTTGATGCACAAATGCTCTGGTCTTCATTCATTTTTTCTTCACGGAGATTTACTTAAAATTGACTTTTGTTCTTGTACCTTTTGTCGCATACCTTTTCCTGTTTTTAACTTGATATTTTTCTTGCCAATGAAGACAGAGTTTCTTTCCCCTCATATTTATGCTCTTCGAAGATAATTTATGAACCTGAGAAGCGTGGCAATTACCTCAAAGTAAATCTTCAAAGCTTGAATTCTACTATCTGAAACTGCAATCTGATAGTTTCTTCATATACTGCATCATAGCCCAAGTCTAGGCTATTGAGTTGTGAAAAGTCTGCAGGGAACAGTCAAATTAAAGCTGTGAAGGTGAAGAGTTGGGTCTTCAAATTGAAAATCTGAGGTACTATGGCATATAAGGATTTCAGAAAACACGTAACAATGCAGTTCAGATACGAATTATATATCATGAATGATTCTTGCCGGTTACCAATACAACAAGTAATCAACAATGTGAATACTGTACACAATGTTTTGTTTAAAAATAGATTGACTGGCACTTTCATTTCTGATGGCTGCCATGAAACTTCTATTGGAAATGTACATGGATGTTGGAACTGGCATGCTTGATCGTTATGTCCCTTGGAGCTTACCAGGGTTGAAAAGCTTCTTATTACTTGTTGTCAGAAAATGTGTAAACGATATAGTCACCCCTGAACAAGGTGCCATATGGCAGGCCATGCTAACGGTGCATCTCAACAAAAGCCAATCAAATGTGTTGTGTCATGGAATGGAAGTGGCAGGAAATCTTTGGCAATGCTTGTGGAAACAGGCTCTGAGAATGGAATATAAACTGTTAGGTATGCCTAATGTCAGAGTTCATACGTTTTAGTGTTATAGCTTTATAGTTTTAGAAACAGAAGTTCGAATGCAATTCCAGTCGGAAAAATCCTGGTAAATGTTGAGAGGCTGGGAAACCACGGATTTAAAATAATTGCAATTCCTGTATGAAGTAAAAGGATGAAAATCATAAAGATGGCAGGTGGTCCCACTTAGCTGAAGAACTAAAATCATGATGTTATTTGAGTGAAAGATATGAATTATTCCCCAGTCGAGGAATAATTTAGAATTAAAAGAGAATTAATTTGCATTTCTTTCCACAAATAATTGTGTGTGGCATAATGCATCGGAAATGAAGGGAACTTAGTTAGAGTCAATTAAGACACAGCCAATAGGCAAGGCTGGCTGATGTTTGGAAAGGCAGCTCAAAATGTGTCAGCTTTGTGTTTTATATAACTGCATTTTCTTATGAAGTTGAAGATAAAGCTAGACCTACAGTTACAGTAGAGTAAATGCTAGATCTAGCGTCCATGACACAGCTTTGTTACTGAGAACTGGCATTCAACACAAGATAAAGTTGGCAACGATCAAAATAGCGGCAAGATTTCTTCAGCTGGAAGCTAAAGAAGAAATCTACCAGCATTATCTCAGTGAAACGCAATTCACCTTGTTTTATTGTGTGTTCTGTGAGAAATCAACTTGGTTGCAGGGTGAAACCATAGCAGCGTGCTACTGGAAACCAAAGGTTTTCTGATATTTTCAGTCACTTCATAAATGACACAGAGAGGCTCATACTTCAGTTATGGAATCCACAGTCATGAAGTTGGTTAAAAAAAAAAATTATTTTCACTTAGCCAAATACTGATAAAAGGGGCCATGAAATATTACACACTGGAGAGCAATTGAAAAGAAATCCGATTAAATTCAAGACAGTCATCAGATATCTTTTGTATAGTTCAAAAATAGAACCTTAAAAGACTTTAGAAAGTAAGAGAACATTTGGGGGTAGGTAAACAAAGCTGTAGAAGTGAGCTTATAGCACAAGTTTTTATAAGTATTGTGTTCAGCTTGTTTTAGTTAATTTCTTTTCCTGTGCAATGAAATTTATTTTTGTTCACAAACACGAGAGCTTGTGACTTAATTTACTGACGGCTTCAGATTTCTTCTTTTATGCATTGACAGTCCCTAACAGTATTGTAACAACACAAAAATATCATGCACAATTCCGCCATTGACGAAGACTACTTATGAGAAATGTTGCAACTTTGTTTAAAAGAATCAAATTCCTTCTTTCCCCCAAAAATTTTTTGGAAAATCTAAGTTCTATGGATAGCAGAAGCTCCTCAACGCATTACTCAGTGGCCATTCAATTCTGTTCAAGACAGATATTCTTATGAGTAACCATCATTGTTAACTTCCATCTTGTTCAATATTCATACACGCTGTGAGGAATAATTTAATGTTGTATTATTTTATGCTGTAGAAGCCAGTACTCAGTGAACATTGTAATATTCAGGGTCAGTCCCTGTATTACATTCGACTGTTCCAAAACATTAGTTCGTTCAATATTCCCTAGGAACAAGTATGAGCTAACGTGAATTTTCAATAGGTCACTCAAAAGAGTTCAGGTGTCACAGTTAATTGATCACGACAACAGTCAAAAACAAGATTCATTCATTAAAGAACAATTAAGTTGTGCTATTGAATAGGCAAGTGAATTACACCAAATCTGTGTAGTTGGACATCTCAGTGTTGTCAAAACTCATGACAAAGTTTGAGCACTTAGTAGGCAGTTAAGTCCTGGAAGGTGTGGAGGCTCAGAAGAAGTTATATGCTACTTATACTTCAGTACAGCGATGAGCACAGTGAACAAAACTCCAAGCAGTATTTGCGTTGTGCAACTGAGCCAGATGAAAGTTCAAGAAACAAACTTAGGCAGTACTGGTTTGTGAAGCTTGCTGTTTGTGAAAATCTGGAGAAGTGCATGTGAGCAAGTGCTGAAGTGCAGATTGTATGAATCCAGCAAAGTGTAGTACCAAGAAATAAAAGGTGAACCATCAGAATGTGTACAGTCATTCATTCAGGCAGGCCATGATGACAGACCAGCAGTAGAGAGAATTTCTAAGACAGGCTGCCAAAAAGAATAATTAGGATTCCTTGTGAAATGCTAATGTGATTTGACAGAGTAGAGTATAAGATTAGTTGGAGGGGGCTGATGAAAACTTAGTTAGACCTGCCTTGATCACAATTGCTGTTTGATATGTTCTGTGGGGTGTTCAATTATCATTTATCAACTATCAATATCTGCCTCACGTTAAGTTTGGGATGTTAGAATACAAGTCATACCTATCTTTGCAGAGTCTACTTTTTTGTCACTAGGATTTACAGCTTTGTTTGTAAGTATATTTGCAATAAGCTTGCTATTTGGTATTGTCTGAAGAAACCCAGCAAAACTGTTTCTCATGCTGAACCAGATACTGCTGAAAACTGAGATAATAGGGTCTTTTGCCATATTGATTAAATTTAAAATTAGTTATGACCAGTGGAGGACAGGTCCGAAAAGGCAAAAGTGCTTTCCTCCTACCTTAAGCGTAACAACACCTTCCAGAAGGAATGAATCAAGGGCACGTGCAGTGGCAATTCTGACCAATCTTCCCCTCTTTAACCACAAGGTCCTTGTAAGATTTTCTAACTTGGAAAACCTTGCACAGTGAGACTCGGTCCAATACTCCACCGAGACAATCTAATTTTCTTAAGCTTGCTTGTCCGCATAATTTTTTAAATTGGTGGTAAATACATCAAGAAAAATCATAGGTGGTTTGCATTTACCAAAAATAAACAAGTCTCAGCTGTATTTACACAAAGTATTGTTAAGTGATGTGGTGGCCATCATTCAAATGCATACAGATCATCAACAAAGAGACAGAATTACATGTGTGAACAATTCAATTTTCAATACAATTACTGGTTTATGAGAGTCTCACATCCACAATCATGTATATCATGTATCAAACTGGCTGCAACATTAATGCCAATTAAACAAATACTGTACGTACCACAGGTAAATAAAAATGCCCCACGCACATCCCACCAGCTCCATACTTACGCGGTCCAGAAAACACTGGAAGAACCACTTCATAGTATACAAAGATGTAAACACATCCTGGGAATCCTGTTTGTTTTAAAATAAAAATAAACCATTAAACCATCTTAAATTGCTCCATCATTTTTTTAAAAACAAGAATGATATTACTTGCATGTGTCATAGAGGCCTCTAACTTAAAAAAAATCCAGTGAATCTATTCCATATCCCACTCGATTACTGGTGTTCATAGTCTGTAGTGATTAAACCAGGTTGATCTCGTTAACTACAAAGGTCACTGACAGGGGTTGTTAACCCGGGCCAATCAGAAAAAGCCCTGGCTGACTAATCTAACCAGGAGATGAGAATCTCCTCAGTTCAGGCGACTGACTCCGAGCTGGCTGGCCACAGCCAGCGTACTGCGCACTAGTAAATAAAGGGTGACTTGGTGACAGGTTACTGGCCTCTGTGCAGTTATTTCAGTTGCGATGAGACTGGGATCTCATTTTGGGTTAACACTGAATGAGCTGCTGAGAAACTGTTTGATATGTGGGATTAACGATATAACTATGCAGAAGCGCATACCAGCTGAAGCTCATCTGGCCTTCAAACATGCAGTACAACTGGTACTGTCATCAGAAAACGCAGCAAGTGCAGCATGGGAACTACAGGGCATCCCAATGGAATTGGACTCCCTCACTCCTCTGACTGAGCTTGGGGAGCACCATTTGAGTGTGGGCAATTGCAAAGCCTCATGTAAGAAATGTCCTGAGCAGAGGGAGCCTAGACCAACCTACAGCAGAATCCCACAACAAAGCCAAGCCTGGCCAAGTGGCTAAGAAGTTCTTCAGGATCTGGGCTGGCAAGCCATTGTAGTTGCTGCCAGTATGTGGACTTCAGACAGCAAAGGTATCCTACAAGGCCTGACATGAGTAAGAAAACTTGTAGGCTGGTGCCCAGGAGGGTGTACACCCTGGAAAGTTCCTCTACATATAGATTGGAACAATTAAATTGCTTAGTGACATCCAAATCGGAACCGAATTAAAATTAACGTTTGGTTAAATGGTCACCCAGTTCCTATGGAGGTTGGTGCCAGCACAGCTATAATCTGTGGTTGCAGAATCACTCAGGACTCCAACCCTTAAGTTTGCACAAGGCCTCAGCCAGACTGAGAACATACACTGGGGAACCGTTGCAGATTAAGGGTCTGACTTCAGTTCTGGTCTCCTATGAGAAGCAGTTGGTGCAGTTACCACTGAAAAGTAGTAAAAGGCTCAGGCCTGAGCCTATTGGGGCAGAATTTGTTAAGAAAGATTCATCTGGATTAGCTCAACGTTTTTCAATTGGAGAATGGCTGCCTCAGTGAAGTCCTAGTGAAATATCCAGGAGTATTTCAGGAAGGGCTTGGGATTATCAAAGGGGCCAAAGCCAAGTTACATGTTGACCAGGAAGCATTTCCAAGATTTTGCAAGGCCCGCCCAGTACCATTTGCCTTGTGGGCAAAGTTAGAAGTGGAAATCAGGAGGCTGGAGAGCGAAGAAATCATCAAACCAGTACAGTTTGTAAAATGGGCAGCACTGGTTATACAGATTGTGAAGCCTGAATGCTCAGTTCACCTTTGTGGGGATTTCAAGCAAACGGTAAACTATTTCTCACAGCTGGATGAATACCCAATTCCTCGCATAGAGGACTTGCATGCAAAGTTGGCCGGGGGAGGGGCTATCCTTTACAAAGCTGGACATGAGCCACACGTACCTGCAATTGTGACTCGATGAGGAGTCCCAGAAGTATGCTACAATTAATAACCATAAGGGTTCATATCAATATACAAGAATGTCATTTGGGGTATCAGCAGCCTTTGTCCTTTTCCAGTGGACTGTGGAGAACATTTTACAAGGGCTACAGTCCAGTACACGCTGCCAGTGTCTGAGTACAAATCAGAGGAAATGGGCTTGGGGCGAAAATGTCGCAGGAGAAGCTACAAGCCAAAGACCAGGTCTACATCCCCGGACATGTGGGGGACTAATGTAGTGATTGGAACCAGGTTGACCTCGTTGGCTATTAGGTCATTGATGGTGGTTGTTAACCTGGGCCGATCAGGTAAACACTGGCTGACTAATACAACCAGGATATCTACCGAGCTTTGCTCATTACTGGTTCCCTGGCCAAATGGGTATTTTTCCTCATGGCGGAATAAAATTATTTTCACGTGGTGCTTTTATTGACTGGAAAAAAAAAAACAGGTGATGAGAATCTCCTCAGTACAGGTGAATGACTCCGAGGTGGCTGGTCACAGCCAGTGTACTATGCACATGTAAATGAAGGGTGACATGGTGATGGGAAACCGGTCTCTGTGCAGTTATTCCATAGACCCTTACCATTAATTAGCATCGCTGTTTCCTGATTCAGGACAGCCTCACAAAAGTAGTTAAAATTAGGTCAAGGCTTGGCACCTTGAATTATAATGAGAAATTACTCAAAAAACATTTGACAAGGGTGGGAGAGAAATTCCACAGCTGTTTCTATATCCTCACTTTCCTTCCAATGGGAGAATTGGTCCCCTCATTCTTGGCAAGATGCCAGTTAATTGCCATGAATCCATATTCTGCTAATACTGGATAGCTTGCTCCAGGACTCAGTTTCTAGAGAGATCCAAGTTTGTGTAGGATAAACTTCCTACAGTGAACATTCAAGTAAATAACTTGGAAGTGTTTTGTAAAAACTGGCTTATTAAGGGGTTAGTTGACAATAACCAATATCATGTTTGTAAGACAACTTCTGCATCATTGCAAAGTGAATTCAACTCTAAACGGGATTTCAATGGTAATTCGATACCAATGCTCCCAACTTCAAAATGTTGCCACAGGCAGGGAAGTCCAGGTGTGCAGGCTTTCTTTCTGGGCAGGTTTTTTGCAGGTAATCAGAAAGAACTTGGCAATGCCTAGTTACAATGTAAAATGTCATTATCAATTCAAGAGTGGCTGCTATAATATAAATACAGCATAACAAGTCATAAAAAGAGGTAAGAGAACTACAGTAAAGTATATGTCTTATAATGCATTTCTTCCCAGGCATCATCCATCACTTCTTTAAAAAAATGAACTTGGAATCAGAGATGATGTATTAAAACATAATGAAGCAGCCTTTTGATCTGAGATATGTTAAGCTAGGATAGAATCTAATGTTACAATGCAAATTCTAAAAGTGAACATTAGCCAAAAAAAAAGGACTAAGGATGCTGGGAATCTGAAACAAAAACGGAAATTGCTGGAAAGTCTCAGGAGGTCTTACAGCATCTGTGGAGAGAAATCAGTTAACATTTTGGGTCCAGTGACCCTTTTTCAGAACCGTTGAGTTCTGAAGGATCACTGGACCTAAATGTTAACTCTGCTTTCTCTCTATGCTGCTGCCAGACCTGCTGAAATTTTCCAACAATTTTTGCTTTTGTCTAAAAGTGACCATCATTGTTTTACTGTGAATTGCCAGTCAGCAATTCACAGGCTGTTCTTATTTAAAGATATCATACTTTATTCCCACTCATATCAATGTCTAGCAATCCACTGCAAAACGAATAACTTTTTATGAACATGTTACTTTGCGAAAATCCCGTTCATGGTCACATACGCTCGTTTTCTTAAAAAATGTAATATTTCAGAAAAAACGCACAATAAAAATATTACTTAAAAGAGATATATTGCTGAACTCTTTATCAGGACAAAGGCAAAAACAACAACTTCAAACGATCACAGCAATTTATACTCCATGTGAAAAGGGTGCGGACTGGTTGTTAAGTCAATGCTGGTTGACTAAGGCATTGCCTTGGAGAAAGAAATAAAGTACTATATGCTTCCCGTGCTTCCAGCCAATTCACAAAAAGGGTTGGATATATTCCATTTGTTCTTAGAGAACACGCCTGTACATGAATGTAGAGTACAGACACATTCAACCAGCCCACATTTCTAAAACCCCAAACATTTTGAAATATTTGTATATGGGATCTGGTCATTGCTGGCTAGACCAGCATTTATTGTCCATCCCTACTTGACCTGGAGAAGCTAGTGCTGAGCTTCCATCTTGGATAGCTACAGTCCTTGGAGTACAGGTTCATGCACAGTACTGTTTGAAAGCGAGTTCTAGGGTTTTGACCTAGGAAGTGAAGGAATTAGCAATACAACGCCAAGTCAGAATGGTGAATCATTTGGAGGTGAACCTGCACATTGTGGCATTTCCATGCATCTTCCAGTCTGGAAGATATTGCCAGAGAGATCTCAGAGTGTTACTGCTGTGCATTATGCAAATGGTGTACTCTACTGCTATTGTAGGTTCATGGTAGTGGGACTGAATGTTGCAGGTGGGAGTTCAGAGCCATTCACGCAAGCAACTTTGCCCTGGCTGGTATCAAATTTGAGTGGTTTTGGAGCTGCACTCAATGAAGCAAGTTGACTTGTAGATGAAGAACAGGCAACTTGGAGACAGAAGGACTCATATAGAATTCATAACCTCTGACTTGCTTCTACAGACACAGTACTTAAATGGCTGGTCCAGTTCAGTTTCTGGTCAATGATAACCCCCAGTATTTTGATTCAGCAATGGTCATGCCATTCTGTGTCATGGGGCAATGGTTAGATTTCCTCCAGTTGGAGATGATCATTGCCTGCCACTTCTTGCACAAATAGGTTTCCTGCCCGAGCCTGGATCTTTTCCAGGTATTGCTACACTGAACATTGACACTACGACTGCACACACAGCATGGAAAGAGACACTTCGGTCCAACTCGTCCATGCCAACCACATTTCCCAAACTAAACTAGTCCCCACTTGCCTGTGTTTGGTCCATCTTCTTCAACAGATAGAATCATACAGCTGTACAGCATGGAAACAGACCCTCGTCCATGCTGACCAGATATCAAAAATAAATCTAGACCCATTTGTGAGCATTTGGCCCATTTCCCTCTAAACCCTTCTTATTCATATACACATCCAGATGCCTTTTAAGTGTTGTAATTGTACCAGCCTTCAACCCTTCCTCTGGCAGCTCATTCCATACATGCACAACCACTATGAAAAAATTACCCTTAGGTCCCTTTTATA